CTGCAGGTGCTCCTTTCCCCAAATTAAACACAGTACAAATTTTCAGCATTTGTTTTCCAAATACTGCTCTTGCATAGAGAATGGGCTGAAGAACATAAAGTTATGGCAAACTTCCTATCAGCATAATGCCAGGCATTTAGAAAACTGCCTTGACCTAGTTTCTGATTTGTAGAATCAAGTAGTGACTTGCAGTTTAATATATGAAAAAAAAATCCTTAATTAAAAAAATTGTGTAGCACACATACTCCTTCCTTACACTCTCATACTTGTATCATGCTGTGCATGCTGTTAATTCAAAAGGCTGATATGGTCACAGACAGCCCAGCTTCTAGGATTTACCATTCAAACACACTTGAACTGGCATGAAAAATGCAATAAAATAATTCTTTCAGACAAGTTTAGAGAGAGGTATTCCCAAAAGACAGAATTCTGGCTTCCAGCCACATAAAGCTTACACTTTGTCAATAACACAGTGAAGGAAGGCATGAATGAATTTTATTTCATTGGACAAGTGACTTGGAATACAGATAAGGCAGGGTGAGCATATAAACCTTTAAATAAATGTTTTAGCATTATCTGGAAGGGAGGAATGCAATTGATTCCAATCTTTTCTGACAGAAAATCAGTTCCTCTAGAGCTCTTGGGGCAACAAACACTAACTAAAAGTGTCTGTTACTAATAAAATCTTTAAGTACAACAAAACAAGATGTTGTCATTTGAAATTAATAAGCTACAATTAATGCAAATTATTACTCTGTAGTTTAATTGAAATACTAAACTGTGATATGAGGTCTTTGTTTTACTAGGACTTTAAGAACCATGTAACTTTGAAGAGGGATCTTTAAAGAGCTGGAGGAAAACCCAGCAGAGCTATAGCTGACAAAGCCCCCCGACAAAAGCCAGTGCAAACAGCAGCAGGAGGAATTCCAAACACTCTGTCGTGCTCTGCTGGGGTTTCTCTCTAATGAGCACAACTGTGGTACCTGGAACTGCTACCAACAGTTAACAGAAAACACTGATCTCTGATTATGCCCCACATGCTTTGTTCTGTTTTGTGGGGGTTACCTCATGCAAAGTTGTTTTGTGGAAAATCTTGACCTTTTCCTCCCTCTCTGCCTGTTTAACATGAACCTTGTTTTATTCTCTGCAGTGATACTACAAGCTGGGGCAGTAAAAACTGCTGTTATAATTCTGGTTTTGCTTTGCAAACACATGTTCTGTGTCGGAATGAAGGGGGGCATTTCGTGCTTTAGGAGAGCCACGTCTGGAATTTCTACAAGAGAAACCCACTGCAAGTGGCAATTTCTTTTACATTATAAATCTAACCCAAACCAGTATATGGAACTGCAGTTTTATTTGCAAAACCACAGCTTGATAAAATTTACAAATAACACTCAATATTGTTATCTTGGGGGCTGAGGATGACTGGTATGGCTCAAAGAAGGGACTGAACTCAGTCACAACGCGAATTTCAAGTGAAATGGTACCTCATTCCCACTGCCAATCCCACACCAGCTCAAAGGAGTCACTATATTTTTAGTATTAAATGTTCTTTCCCTAATGCTTTCCATAATGGAAGCAAAAATTATAGAATAGAAACAAAGGGCTGGTGTTTGTACAAAGTTCGTTCAGTGGCTGCATTAATGCTTTTAGCCTAAAATACGTAGTAGCAGTAGTACTAGTACAGTAGGAATCTGTATTAGTTGGTAGAAAACACTTTTTACATTGAATTTGCTTTCAGGTTACTACTGACTGAAATAGACCTTTTCAGATTAAGTCAGATAACATGGTTAATAGGAGGGAAAAAATCACACAACTCCAGGGAGTTGTTATTACCTAATAAAGAGCACTCAGGGTCTGTTTCTGTGCCTTCCCAGCCCATAAATCACAGAATTTCAGGATCCTAACTTCTGCCTTTCCATCTTAATTGTTATTTTTATTTTTATAAATAACTATTCAACCTTCAGACTTCAGTGTGACCAGACTTTGGCCCCATACAAACTAAAAACACAAGCGGTGAGCTCAAGATTTAGAAATAGAAAATTGTATCTCTATTTTCATAGTTCTACAGTGAGAGAGACAATAGAATCTATTTCACTATCTTGTTAGAGACATAAACCTCCAACACTCAGGGTAGCTATTTCTGAAGGGGCTGCCTTTCAGCTTTGCCAAAGAAAGCATTCAGTAACTGCACGGGGAAAAAAAAAATCAAGTGTTAAACAATGGCCAACATTTTCCTTGCAGCTGATGGATGACTCTGTGTGGTAATTGATACTTCTGCACTGTTGAACCCAAAATAATTGCATAAAATCTCCAGAGCTCACAACTTGTCTCAGGAGCCTCTAAGAAATACATCCTAGAACTCTTAGCACCAGCAAAGGGTGGAATAGAGGAACACAGCCCTTTGCACTCTCCTCTCTGAACTGTTTATTTCTGGCAACAGGCTCCACATGTATATGTATATACATTTTGAATAAATTTCTGGTTTTGAATGACACTAAAAAGTGCAAGTCTACATTCTGCAGTGAGGTGTCCTGATAGGTAAATCTATGAAAGAATCCCTCGTGTACTTAGGAAGCATTTTTAAACATGCATTTTAACATTCCACCAACATGAACTGAATCTCCTGCCTTGTGACAAAGTGCTTCATATTTAAAGTCCTGAAAATGTTTCCAGATAATTTCTTTTGTGTTTTTGGCCTTTATGGAAATCTTTTGAAAGTTCTTCTTGATTTCAAATAGATAGAGGTACCAAACTTTGCTAACAAATTTTCATCCAGCTCTAATGACTGCAGATCCCATCAGTGGGTAGTGGGGGTTTTTGTTTTATACAAAAGCTGTTCAACTAACTACTGATTCTATAGGCAGTGCTGACACTGTACAACTTTAAAATCTCTTACCTTCTAGGGAATTGCTTAAATAATGAGAAGTTACTGATTGACATACCATGGAAAACTTTCAATGGAGTAATTTGACAAGTATTTCCATTTTCAGCTGAAGGCTACTTTTCTTTTGTTAAATATGATTTTCAAATAAAGTTTTCCTTAGTGCTGAAGAGCAGGCTACTTGTGCCTCAGTACAGAGCTGGCTGTGACAAATGACTGGATGAAGCAGTAATCTCAAAGATGACTTGAACAAAAAGTAAAATAAAAAAGATACCAATTATTGTAATTATAGGAACCCAGAAAAATGGTGTGACTTTCTCCATATGTCAGAACATGCAAGTCTTTTGAAGTTATAAAAACTCTTTTAAAGCACTTTTAAGCACTTGGGGGCTCTTTTAAAGAACTCCCTTCTTATTAGAAGAACAGGCAGCTTGGATCTCCAGGTCAGGGGAGGTGTGTTTGACAATTTAAATCAGCTCCTGTGTACCCTGAGGATGTGTGTCCTGTCCTCAGAGCTGCCCCAGGGGCAGGGATGGCCTCACAGGGGGATGGCCCAGCAGTAGCACCAGTTGGCAAAGGCTGCCCACAGCCACACTGCACAGTCCTGGGCCTTTGTGCTCTCTAAGGCCCTTAAAGCCCCGAAACTTCCTTCTCCTTCTTTTGTTTCCAAACAGCGGTGACTGCCAGCATAGTGTGTTCACAGCATGAACAGGGAGCACACTCAGGACAGCACAGGATGACATTAAACAGTGAGCAACTCCCTGCTGTGGCAGCAAAGAACTCTCCTGGCTGGAAGAACCAGGGTAGTGTTGGATACATCCATAGTTTCTGGGTAGAGCTTATAACAAACTCCCCTTAGAACAGGTTGATGTTTTCCTCTAGGACTAGCTGGGGCTCGCTCCAGAAGGCACTTTGGAAGTGAACCCATGTGCTTCCAGTATGGAAAACTGTCCTACAGCAAAGCAGGGACATGAGGAAGACTTTGCCTCCTGCTCTTCCACTGGAGACATCTTCCTTAACTCGCTGTACCATCGCTGTCATTTCACATCACTGCAGTGCTTCCTCTGATTCCCTGTCCTCCTCCTGTTCTGAGGAGATCCTTTGCCAGCAAGGAAGCTTGTGATACTGAGTTTTCCAAATACAGCCAGTTGAAAATATTAAATGAATGCAAATCAAGCATTTGTGCATACACAGAGGGATGAATTTGGGTTTGATCAACTGAAGCTTTTTTCCAAATGTTAAGTCTCAAGACATTTCTGCTGACTTCCTAAAATAATTAAAGCTTGTGGTGAGGGATTTTCATCATTTGGGGTTTTTTTACTAGCTGTATCAAATAGTAAGGAAAAGAACCATCAAGATTTCAACATATCCAATTGTGCTTGCTTTCCTAACAACTAAACCAAACTGTTAAATTTCTTGTCAACAGGCAATCATTTTCATGGATGACCCTGACTCACTGCACCTGTAAGTCTTTAAATAGCTCCACTTTCAGCTGCAACAGCTTCCAGGAGTAATTAATCCTGAACATGCTGTTTCACAAAAATGACTAGGTGATTTTAGAGCTGTGTTTTCCCTATAGTGAAAATGCCAGGCTATTGCCACATCAAGCTAGTTGTCATTCCCAGCTGCCTTCAGGGAGCCAGTGCGATGCACAACTGCAAGGGAATCACTTTGTGTCCCTTGGAGCTGGGGAACAGCACTAAATCAGCAGGCTAAGTGCTGCTAGAAGGAAGGATTCTGAGAACACCATCTGTTCCCAGGCAGATCAGTGGGATGATTTCAGTGTGCAATCCACAGTGTCACCCTTGAGTGTGTAACGTACCAGGCTTGTGCCAGCTCCCACAGAGCACTGCCCTACACTGCTCCTGCTGCTCTCCCTCCCTGCTGAGCAGAGCAGGCTTGGGCTGAGCTCCCCCTCTGTAAGAGGACAGTGACACTCTGAATTCAGTGTAGTCCAACACAGGGAGCAAAGTCAGATCCATGAGTGGTTTCACCGTGGACACAAGCACACTGCACGTCTCCCTAACACAGCCTTGGGCAGATGAGTGGTGTTATACAAACTGTGATGTTCTCAGCACAGTGGAAAGCAGTTGCACCTTGGAGGCACAGCTCTTACCTTCCTTCCTGTCCCACAGGGCAGCCGTGGCTGGCACAGACAGTCAGTCTGACCCCACTGGCCTCTTCCTCCATGCGCTGCCTCTTGACAGGGATGAGGCTGAGGCTCTTCCATTGCTGTGCTCCAAGGCAAATGAACCAATTTCCTGTTATTCTGCACATTCAAGAAAGAAAAAGGCAAATGAATACAATATAAGCTAGAAAAGCAAAGAAAAGAAAGTTTGCTGAGTGATCTTAAGCAAGCTGGTGGTGTGCTGTGCTGCCCACCCTCGTCTCTGCAGCACCAACAGCAGGTACATCCTCCCATGTGGCTCATCTTGAAGGACGCTGCCGGAAGATTTCATCCTAGAGAAATACCATGCAGAGGGACATGAGTCAAGATTTTTAGCATTTGAAATGAGCAAGGGAAGGTGATTTCTATTCCTGACTCTGGCACTGACCCACTGTCTGACTAGTCAGTTCATTTTTCTGTGGTCCCAAACTATCAGTCCAGAAGTTCTGCCCATTGGCTGTCAGGGCAGCATCAGCTCTTGGTAGAGAGCAGTTACTGCAATCACATTAGGGAATGTTTTTAATCGTATGAGGTAAGAGACACATAGCATTGCATTATGGGGTAAATACAGCTTTAATTGAAATATTTCGTTGTAATTTGCCTTGCTTGACTTTTCTTTCACATACAATAAGAAATCGAAACAAATCAGTAGAATCAAAGTGATGATTACAACATAACTTCAAATCCTGATTACATTTTCCTTTGTGGATGGTGTGTGTGAGGAAAGAAACACATAAATCACACACTAACTGGTTAACACATTTGAGGCACTCAATACTAAATCAGTGAGGCCTCATTTACTTCTAGTCTTAATTCCAGCATCCCCCCAAGGACCAAATAAATGTAAAACCTGGCTTTGCTGCAGTAATTTATTCTACCTGTTGAAAAGTCTTACAACAGGGTGTGTGATTCCAATACTGAAAGAGAAAAGTAATTATATACCTTAAGAATGAAAACTTCCTATGTTTCAGAAGCATTTCACTTTGACTTGTATTTGTTCTCTCATTAACTCTTACAACTGAAGGTGGAGCTTAAATTGATATTAAATATTACTTTACGTTTACCAAGGGCAATAAGTCAAAACCATTTTAAAAATAAAATAATATTGACAAAGGCCTATCAGCAGAGTCAACCAGAGGTTGTGACACCCCAAGTGAAATCCAAGCATTAATAAAAGCCATTGCTAAGAGAAATTCATCTAAAGAAAGGAAGCTACAGAAAAGAAATCTGTTTCCACAACACAGGATTTTTTTGTATTTTTTCTGGTCAGCTGAACTGACTATTTGAAGAGGTTTCCTGTTTTAACCCCTCATCATATTGATAACATTAACAAATATAAGGAGATCTTGTTTTCAAAGCCATGCTTACTGGTCAGGGATATTTTAGGATATTTTATTTTATATTAGTAACAATTTCACAGTAAATGTTAGGACATTAGCATACAGCTACTGTAATTTACAGGAGAAACCAGCCCAGCTTTTGACAGGGCTTTGGGTCATTTCTGGCACCTGCAACACTGCTCTAACAAAGGAGAGGATACTGTGCCATTAAAATTAAAGCCTCAAAACACAGAACCCACATGTGTTACCACAGGATCAAAATGTCAGCAAGCTGAGGGTGTTTTGTATGAGCTCATCAGTTTTGTTTACTGTTTATTGTCTGTTAAATAACTTAGGAAGCTTCTACTTAGTTAATTTTTTTGAACAAGATATTCCATGCCTTGATGTAATTTTTTTTCTTTGTGCAAAACAACCTGTGTTCAAAGCTAGAATTTAAGCTCTGGTAGCATTAAATATGAGTGTGTGGATTTGGGGATTTTGATTGCCTGAGTTTTTAATAGTAAAGCTTCCTTTATTTTTGAATAGGCAACTTTGTAGAAACCAATAGTGAGCAGGAGCAATAGTCTGAGCAGGCAGCATTGCTTGTTTTTCAAAGGGACTTTTTCATAACCTGAATGTGGTTATTATAGCTACTTACCTCATAAAATCAGATCTGGTAGCCCTCAAGACTTCAGTTCTTGGTGACAGACAGCAGAGAGCATACAAAATCTACCTAACTGCATTTCTGCTCATTTTTTTTACAGGTAGCATTACAGTTTGTGTATTAGACACAGACATCAGTCCCAGTCACACTGCTTACCCTGCCTGCCCTGTGCCTCAACTCAGGGGAATGGAGTTTTCCTCCTTCCCTGTGCACATCACAGAAAGCCACCCAAATACTTAAAATAACACATATTCCTTGTTACATCCAGTTAAAGATCAGGAGAAGGTTCTTCCCCCAGAGGGTGGTTGGCACTGAACAGGCTCCCCAGGGCAGTGGGCACAGCCCCAAGGCTGCCAGAGCTCCAGGAGGGTTTGGGCAACGCTCTCAGGGCCAGGGTAGGATTGTTGGAGTGTCTGTGCAGGGCCAGGGGTTGGACTGAGTGATCCTTGTGGGTCCCTTGCAGCTCAGAATGTTCTGTGATTCCATGTTCTTCATGATCAATGAGCTGAGTGCCTTACCCCATAACCAACAATTATCCCTGGTTATAACTCACCAACAGTTTACCTAGAATGAAATTAAGTTTTCATTAAACTGCAAGGTGAAGGCAACTAGACAACTTCAGAGTGGTTCCTCTTTTAACTGAGCAGATCTAATTTCAGATTTCTTTGAAGTTCAATCCTTCATGTCCTCTCCATAGGAGTAAACCCTCATCCCTCATAAGGCCACTGTTCTCCTTCGTATCTCCTGTGCTAAGTGGCATCTCTGTCCCCATTGCCTGCTGCTGACCTAGTGAGCAGAGTTTAAAATCGAATATGATTTACTGGTTCCCTTTTGGGCAGCACCATCACACACACAAATACACTCTGAGCCAGTTCTGAGACCTGATCCAGCTGAGACTGAGTGTTACCAAAAGCTGGTTTGGCTGCAGCCACGCAGAGGAGCACCAGAGCCCCAGGAGCAGGTGGGGAGAGCAGGGCAGGACAACAGCAGCCTGGATTTAGATCAGCTTAACCCGTAACAGGATTAAATCCCAGCATCAAAAGACACAAACTGGTAGGATTTAAAAGAAGATGACACTTACTGTGTGCAATTCTGAGAATGACTTTACCATGCCCCCTTTTCTCTTCTGTGTGAAGGGGCCTCTCAGATCTCTGTCACTTCTTTGTCAGGGCTTGGGAATTTCTGCCTTATGGAAAAGCGTGTCAGTGCCAACCAGGTAAATCAGTGAGCCCTGCTTAATTCTAGTGGGCGCCATTCCAGCATTTACTGTTCACATGCAGTCAAACCAAAGCCTGGGGGGGTGGGCTAGAGCCTGACCCTTTCCTCTCCATCCTTTACTTAATATACTGCTACCTTTTTATCTAATAACCTTGGCTCTCCACATCCTCCAGCTCTGCCCAGAAAACCTCACTGACAGACATGCTGAGGAAACATCTCCCCAGTTCCCATTTCTTTGGCACAGTACTCTGAGCTGTTTGGATCAATCAAGACAGAAATGTTAAAAAACTCTAGAGAACTTTCTCCAAAGAAGTCAAGTGAAGAAATGTAGCTGAAATGTAAACACACCCACATGAGGGAGCAGCTGGGAGAGGCTGAGGATCACAGTTCAGAACTTCGTGTCTCAATCTAAATTCAGTTCTGATCTGGATCTGGCCAGAGCACTTTATCTGATACATCTGTGTTCGACTAGCAAGTGTTAGAATATGTGGGATTCAACACAGGCTCACATAATTTCAGCTCAAACTCATGTCTTGCTGAAACACCACTGACTGCCTACACTGAGAAACAAGACCCACAGAGTATGGTAGATGTAATGAGAATTAAGTGTGGGCAGCTATAACCAAAGACCAGTGAAGTTCCAAACACTGACCACAGCCATTTGAGAGAAAATGCTCCAACCATGAAGCAATGTACACATGCAGTTAGAAGCAGCTGTTCATTGAAAAATTACTTCAGATGTCCCATTTTCATTAGATACTCATCTTTCCTCTTTGCGTATATAAAACTTGAACAAATGACTGTAGAATAAAATGGGTTCTCTGTAAAAATAGCACTTTTTGAGGGCTGAATTTGCAACTGCCTTTTCTCAGCTTGCCACTATAACTTTTTTATCCTCCCAAACCTCATCTTGCCCTACTCTTCTGTGAACAGAGCTGATGGAAGGAACGGCAACACCCCTCCTCTGGTGATGCCTCCTCACAGCTGCTGGAAATTCATGACCAGCATCCCTCTCCCCCTCACAGGCACACGCAGCCCTCTCGTTTGTGAAGTTAATTTAGTGAGGTTAAATGATACAGTATATCTGACTACATTTTTTCACTTCCAGCTGGAGCCCAGTCAGGGCTCCCAGGTAAGGACAGGAATACTCTCCCTGCCTTGCTTCATATCTGCTACAAAAATGATTGCATTATCCTCCCCCCAGCCCCAATTACCAGGCTGTGGAAAGAACTCCAATTAAGTGGTTAGCCATAATAGCATGGCAGCCCTTCAGGAAACTGCCTATCTAAATAGAGATGTACGGAAGGCAGTTTTCTCTCTAATAGTGATGCATTTTCAATTTATGCAATACAAAGTGCATTGGTCTGCAGTGTCCCTGGCTACTGATGATTAATAGCCCATACACTGCAAGGGGCTACAAAGAAAAGTGCCAAGGGAAGCAGATGCAGCGGGTTTTATATTATCATGACTGCAACAAACTCATTCAGTGGTGTCAGCTCTGACTGCAGGATTCTGATTATGAAATATGATGCGTGTTGAATTTAATGGCTTTCTCTGCCCTTCTGGTGAGTTCACTGCTTTCCAATGTCATTTTGTGTTCTCATCTGAGTGGTAATAAAAGGAATATCATTGACTGTGCTAGCTCTGTAACCACTGTGTGTTTTACAATAAATTGTGTTTCAGGACCTTTCTACCCAGGAGAGTGTGCAGGGCCAGAAAGTAATATTCCCCAGTTCTCCAATATGAAGGCTTTCTGTGAGAGGAGAGGAAATTATGCAGGACTGCCCTTCTCTTGAGGCATTCCTTATGTGAGCAGGACATCTCTTTTTCAAGTGGTTATATAGTAAAAAGATCAGTTTGGATTGCAAATAAAAAAAAAAAACCAGCTACTGCTACAGAGCAGAAATTACAATACCTTGATGACAAGAGGATAAAAGTTGTTTAAAATAAAATGTAAATAAGGAACCTGGGCATACATGGTGTCACCCGTGTAAGAATATAAAGTCAGGGGAGACATCTAAAGGGAGATTTCTTCATCCAGGAAATCATTATTCTGTCCAACTTGTCAGTGAGCTGTTGCCTGCACCACTGAGTTAAGATCTTACTTGCTGGAGAGATACAGGTGTAGCTATGAAATCCTCTAATGTCTGCAAAGTCATTATATTGGTTTCTCAAAAAAAATAAGCTTTGCAAAAATGCATTATGTCAGCCTCAGTGTTGAAGGGTGCACAGCAGACTTCTTCATGCTGCCAACCAACACTGACCAAGCTGGGCTGGCTCAATCCCAGCAGGGACAACACAGATCTGTGCAGAGAGAAGAGACAGAGTCTCAAAGCTGAGATATTTTGCATTACCTGAAGGATTTCCAGTGGTTCCATCCTCTTTGCCCTATCCATCTCCTGCCTGTGTGAGCAACACTGCGGGCTCTGTCACTCCCACAGCTGCATCAGCCAGGCCAAAGCAACATAAGAGATAAATAGAAAGACACAGTCTGTGAGGTTCTCAGATAAATCCACCTATCTGATTTTTCACCTTGGAATCCACTAGAGCCAGCCTGAAATACTGCACCAACAGCTGATCAGTGGTTGAGTGAGCAAGTCCTGTCATGCAGACAGGGTGAGACACAACCCCATTGTTCCTCTTTCAACCACCAAGAGGCACAAATCAAAGTTTACTCACTTTTGCACTTCACAGTTTCATGACTGGCCAAATCCAGAGAGCAGCAGTGAAAGAGCAGGAGGTGCTTCTCGTGAGGAGCAAAACCAAATCCACTGAGGCAGGAAGTGCCTGACACACAAATAGTATTTTTCTCTTTGTAAATGTAAAGCCCAAAGTCCACCTGTGCTGTTTTCTTAACTACAGCCCCCTCTGATGGAGTACTGCTGTCTCCAGAAACATAAGGAATGTTTTTCCAGGCAAGAGGACAGAAAGTTATGTGTGGACATTTCAATTTACTACAATCTGAATCCAGGGCTGGGGCTATATTTTGAATGTGATGAAACCAAACTGCAGAGGCTTTTCCTAAGAATTTACAGTTAAGGTGGAAACTCACCTTTACAGAAGTGAAGAAGTACGTTTGTCTGTTTTTTGGAAAAAGAAGATCACCACCAAACCAAGACACAGTCAATTAACACCACAGAGAGGTGTGTATGGCCACATGCAGCCATCACTGCCCCAGCTGAACTCTGCCTTTAGCTTAGTGAGTTTGCATTCAGCAGTTCAATTGTATCCCACACCACTTCATTTATTAGGTTTTCATAAAGAACCTGGGAATGAAACTTCCACTTTTAGGATAAACCAGAACATTTTTAACCTTGTTTTTGTCTCTAGTTGAAATGTCACTCGTATTCTCAATCATATTTTATACATGAACACTTAAAAAGCTTTGCCTAGAGGATAAATGAGAATTGTCTTTTGTCCTTTCAGACTATACTTCATATATTTTCACATAAAAATGTATTGAAACAAGATTTAAAACTGTTACACATTTTATTGATATCTACCTCCAGAGGGAGAAAAAAAGCACGTTAACATTTAACATGGTGGTTTTGTCTTTCTCCCTGTTTGCTGAAAAACTTGCAACAGTTGAAGGGTAGAAATGTCAGGCAGAAATCTGTGATCTGCCTCAAAATTAAATTATGTATTGCCATAACACAACAGAGCCTTTGTCCTTTCTGGAATTCTCAGTTTCAGCAGAGAATCATCAAAGGAGGTAAGAATTCCCAGATGAAGAGGAAATAGAGAACAAAGGCCCCAGGAGCATTACAATCAGCTTGACAAGGCAGTGGGGGCGTTGTTCCTACAACCATCTTTTGATTTACTCTGGAATGCAGGTCCAAGCAGGTGCCTGTGCCGGGGCACAGCTCAGTGCAGGGACACAGGAACAGGCTATGGGGCTGCAAACACAGAGAAGCCTCAGCTGCTGCCATGGAACAAAGCCTCAGCTGCTAGGAACAAAGCAAACCTCCTGCAAGGTGCATCCTCCCTCCTGCTGTGCCTGGTGCTGGTGTCTGCTGTTTACGAGCAGAGACATTGCAGGTATCTTGGACCCGGCACAGAGACAGCTGGCACTGAAAAAGCAGCCCTGAGAGGAGCTGCATCCTTGAGCCTCCCCTGCCCAACAGCCCATGAAGTGCTGTGCTCAAATTTAGATGTCTACATGGACAGTGAGACCGACTCAGCACTGAGGGCCATAGCATGCCAGACGCATCCAAGATGTTCTTCCCAGGCCAGCAGCAACGCTGCACAGTGAAAATTACCTCAGAAGGTCAAGGCAGGAGAGTTTCAAGCAGGTAAAGAAAGGTTTAGTATGACTGAGATAAAAGTTCTTTGGCAGCTGAGTTATGCTGTACAGATGGGGGAAGGGAAGGAGGATGACTTGCTCCCTGTGGTGCCCACTATCAGGCGCATTTCTTATTTTGAATGCATTTTTTATGTTTGAAGTTGCAAATTTAGTCCTCAAGTTCAACAAAGCCTTTAAGCAGCTGCCTTTGTGTGTTGACTTCAGTGGGGCCTCAGAGCAGCGTATGTGTTTGAAAAAGAGCAAGCCAACATGTTTACATTCATCTTTCTGACCACTCACCACAACATCACCACAGGGCACACCCCACATTCACACCAGTCCCTAAAATCCTGTCTGTGGCAGCCCTGGAGTCCCTGCATAGTGCATGCCTCAGTCTGGAATCCTTCTGCTTCAGATGACTGCAGTTAGCCAGGTGTGTTATCAAGTTGGGGAGCTCCTGTGCTCTCCCTCCAGAAGCACGAGGCACGGCTGGATTTCACCTGGAATACCTGATGGCCAACAAGTGCTCCTTAGTAACACCCAAAGCCTCCACAGCCTTGCTGTATCATTTATGAGAGACTGTGATGGTGATACACATGAAATGCCACAACACCAGGGATGGTTTGTCAATTTGGGCTGGACAGAGTTTTGTACCAGTTGTGCCTGTACTAGGTCACATGCCAAGAACTGTGATATTTTCCCTTAAAGGCCATAACTGAAGTGCCCTGGTGGGAAACACGGAAATCCATCAACTTTCCTGCAATTCTTTAAAGCAGATGAATAACAAAACCAATAAAGTTTCTTCCTTTTTCCTTTGTTAACATTAGATTTTCTCCTAAAATGTTGCTGTAATACTGTTTAGGAAGACACAGCTACGAAGCCTGACAGGCTTGAAGAGCAGTTCTAGAATCTGCTCCTTACTGACAGCATTCTGACATATCCAAATCTATCATTAGACTCTTTATAAAGCTATGCAGGGTAGATTTAGTTTGATGGTGGGGGAAAGGAGCCCTATATTCAAGGGAGTCCCCAAGATCTTTCCCAGTCCCCTGGGGGAGCAGGGAACAGAGCAGGCGTTTTCTTCTCTTTCCACCCCTCCCAACCATGGCTGTTTTAAACCAAGTGGGCACCTCCACGCTCTAAAACCGAGCTAGCAGGGCAGCCTCTCAGCCACGGGAGAAAAGATGTACAGGGCAGGGAGGATTAATATTCTTGAAGGTTTTCCTTAGTCTGCAGGAAGCCAGCACAAAGGCACTAATAACCTCTTCAAGCAGAGAACATTTTCTCATGGGGATAATAGCTCAAGGAGAGAGTTTTTATACTATAAAGTAACATTATCTTGTATGAAAACTAACTGGTTTTGGCTCTCTGGTGCAGAACTAAGCCACCTTAGTTTTACCTGTGCACTTGCACCTGTGTAAGGAAAATTTTGAAATGTCAACAAAATGTGTTTAAGGAGTCTATCTTCTGCCTCCTCGTTTGCATTTGTTTCATAACATAGAAATAGAAATTAAAGGCCTTCAGTACAGTTCAGGCAGCTTGCCAATACCTATTTTATAGCAATAAAATATGTACAAATTAAGGAATCTCATGTGGAAAATTCATTCAGCAGCCTCAAAAGCCAAGCGAATGGTAATTACTTCAAACACAATGTGGTGGCAATCAGGCAAGATTGGATCATGCTTTTAAATGTATGTCTAAATTTTTAAGAACCAAGATAATTATGAATTACGAAAATAACTCAGACAATGAAATAGCAAATACAGAGTTTGTGGAATAAGAGAGATCTTTAAGGAAGAGAGAGGACTTCATTCCAACACCTGCATAGAAATAATTGAAGGGCAAATATGGGGCTGATATTTTAATTCCTTACTTCTAGCCATCATTTTATACTTTAGGGTGGCTCATGGATGCCTTGAGGTATGCAGCAAGTGGAAGCATATAAAATAAAATTCAAGTAAAAGGATTTATCCTGCTTACTAAAAGCAGTGGAAGCTCTTTCTAGCTCACATTCACATATATTGCAGCATAAAAACAAATTTGCCTTCCTAGCTCCTGTACAAGTTTTCTTCAATCTGGAAAACAATTTCAGTGTTCATCCACTTATGCAATGCCAGCTGAATAAACACAGTGGGTTCATTTCCCACAGGTAAAGCTTAACAGAACTTTTGGAATAATTAAGCACAAGAACAGTGTACCTAAGGGTATGGTTGAAATTCCATCTGTGAAATCTTTAGGACTGTACATTTTGCTACAAACATGCCAAACCACAACCAGCTGTGAGAGGCTACAAACCCTCTTGGATAATGCTGAGTGTCACACTGGCAGACAACAATAATTTTGTAGGTGAGCATGAAATCAAACATAGTAAGTATTAGGGTAGAAGGAGCTGAAGAGGGAAGTTCTCAAAGGCAGCTCCACATCTGCCTCCCGTGGAAGAAAAATTAGGCCCTAGACTTTGAAAAATCTCTCCACACGCATCCAGCACTCTGGAGCCAACTGCATATTCATTACATGCCCAAGGATTCCAGCTTTGTTTTGCTGTGGATTTTGTTGGAACATTTACAGGTTTCCCTTACTCAGATTTGCTTTGCCCAAAGACATGCTCAAGGACTGAAGAGAGAATCTGCCACACTAGAAGCCTCTGACATTATGAATGGCACAAAAAAGTGAGTAAAGGAAGAAATGTTTTCTTCATTCAAGAAGAGCTCTGGGACACCAGTGACATTTTCAACAGAAGAAATCAAATTTTGGAAGTCTTTGCCACAAGATGCTGAGAATATAGAATAAAAACTTAAAGAGGAATTGGACACAGATCACAGATCACTGTAAAACCTAACAGTGCTCATAAAGCTTCTGGCACAGGAGAGCTGTGCTCCTCTCCTGGCTGGGAGCTGTGGGGGCCTTTCTGGGGAGAGCTCTCTCAGTTCCAGCTCAGCATTTTCTGCAGTGTCAGCCCTGCAGATCATGGCATTGCTGAGGTAACTCCACTCAAGCCAGGGTACTCCAGGGAGGGATTCATCCCATGAAATAATTTTTGTCTGCAAGAATTCTAAGCCAGCTGATTAATTTATTCAGCTGTTGTGCACTGTAACTCAGTTCTAGTAGATGCAACCTATAATGCAGAGGGTGATCAGTATAGCTCAGCCAGGAGAGCAGTAGGTTCTGTAGAAACCACTGGGAAAGAGAAAAAAGAAAACCTCCTTACTTTTTTTTTTTTTTTTTTTAAAAAGGAGTATCAAGAGAGACTATCCTCCCTCTCTCTAAGTTAAATGAAGTAGGAGAAGGTTTTGAACCATAACCACCAGAGTGGGAATTCCATACATTCTATTAGTTCCTATTTTTATCAGAAATTGAAGGGAACTCCATAAAAAAGTCAAATAAAGCATGTGCCTTTATTTTCCTGAGATGATTTGGCTTCACCAAAGATCAGCAAGACAGAAAAAACAACTTTGGACTGCTCAAAGCTATTGAGAAGATGCCTTCTTAAAAATTAACAAAATGAA